TGTGAGTTACACTATTTGTAACTCAAGAACAGCTGTAGACTTTGGCTGAAAATTAGTGAATAGCTTAGAACAAGGAAAAGGACATACGATACTTTTCATTCCATTGAGAAAAAAAATTGTTAATCAAATCAATAATCTTCTTATCTACTGTCTTTAAGGAGGAATAGAGTTCACCCGATCAGCTATACATTTTTTATTCTGAAACGAATGTTGACGAAGTCCCGGGCAAAAACTAGTATTTTATAATTGGAAATAATAAATTCTTTACTCTATTATCATTACAGTTCTGATAGTCACATGTTCGTGTGCCAACAAAAATTCAACAAATAAATTTATGCAGAAGCGTAATGAGTTTATGTGGATATAAAACGATGGTTTTCACAAACACTTTAATAAGATAATTTAAATGAAAGAAAAATTTTATAAAATTGATAAAGTAATATGAATTTTGTGATATGATTTTCTTTGTAAAGCTAATTTAAGTGACGAGACTCACATATTTTAAGTATAATATAGTACCCATAGTACTTTTAGCTCTGTCTTCATACACTAAAACGGTAGTAAACTAAGAAGTTTTACAAAGGAACATTGAAATAAAGTGAACGCTATCTGGCAGAGTACAGTTAGTTCGCAATAAAAACCTTTATTGCAACTCCCTAACAATGACAGTTTTCGCATCAAATGACATTCATTGTGAGATAGCTTGCTATGTTCTGGCAGCATCATAAGTTTTTTAATTAACTAAAGTAGATTCAGCTCATACATACATACATACTTATGTTTTCTTCTTCTACCTGGAAATTTCCCAGCTTTAGCTAGGGTCTGCCTTACATGTTGTGAATAGTTTTGGCTAATTGTTTTCACGACCAGCCTGACATCAACCCTCTTTGGGATTCTTACTTAGATACTTATATAATTATTATCGTTAAGTGGTTACAAGTGTGTACTATATATTTAGAAGATGGTACTTATTGAAAAATGCATGCTATTTTTGCTACCGATGTTAAATTTAATACAATTTTATAGTGTTAGCGGTGAAAAAATTTTATTCGACAATCAAACTAAAATCATCGCCGTTGACCTATTTAGGAAGAACTAAAATTACTATACTCACTGTTTTAGTGATATTAAATGCAACTATTTACATAATTATATGCTTGGATTTAGTTTCAAGGAAATTTTAAATACAGTGTAAGTGATATACGAAGAGAACTTCTTAAGAATGCTGGTCCCTATCAAAGTCTTACATAATTTCTCTCAACATAAAGTGGACTTCCTGGAACAGGGTTGAATTCACACAATGACGCTATTTTAAACCTTAGAATCTCAAATAGAAGATCTTATTCATAATGTATGTATATATAAAAAATATAACGCATAATTGTCAAAACGAAAAATATTTAAGATATTGTATTTTTAATTCATACGTTAGCCTTGAGATATTACCTATATATTTTTTTATGTAATAAAAATACCTGTAAGCTGATGCAACTCTGGGTTCAAAGCTTAGAGTGTTAACTCAAGCCGTATCTTCAAAGGGCTGGGTCAAGTGGCGCCATGTTTTGCACAACAACTCTAAAAGATCGGCTTATGTTTAATATGAAATGAATGCTGGAGCTACAATATAATCTTTTTGATTAGGAGATTTAAAATGTTATTATCTTTCCATCCATTATCCCGATTAGGATGAAATTAAAAAATATATATTTCATGATATCTGAATTTATCCCTTTTACGGATTTCAGATTATACTCCACGGATAATTTTCATAATATCCTTTAATTAAATGTATTATTTGAATATCAAATAATGATCACTTAATATTGTATACTTTCTTTTATAATATATTATTTCTGTTACAGTCAATAGTATTACTGTTTCATAGTAAAAAAAGGTAATTGTAAATATAACGAAAATGGTAAATGAACATAAAATAACAATGAAAGCGTAAAGGATAGCGCTAAATATGTATATATCGGATTTATTACGAATTCCTTGTTTTTAAAGAGAGAGAACCCAGCCTCGCTGATGTCAATAATGTTACTTCTTTCAGTACGTTCCATGATATTTTAAAATGAAAATTCAATTGTTCTGAATGTTCCTGTATGTCTGGAAGGTTCTTCATAATCATATTATTCACTGGTCCGCACTAACTGAACTCTGCCGTCGTGAGTCCAGACGTCATATTTATACCAAGATTCAAACATTGTCCTATTCTCCTTTTAAACAATTTTTAATTTCGTTTTACTTTGAATACTAATGAGTTTTAATACTTATTGATGATAGCCTCAAGTTATTTTCATGTTGCATCCGTTATTGAAGCTGGTAGCGTCGATATATATAACATTTATTTTATATTAACGAATTGAATTTTTTAAGCCTATTGTTATATATGGAATTTCAAACAAGAATTTTTCTTTTTCATACACAATCGATGTAACATTACAATTTTTTAAACTTTTATGACATTAAAGACTTTTTGAAAGTAACTTTATTAATTTTATTAGGAAATAACTAAAAATAGAAAAAAAATATAATGAGCCAACTTTAACTACTATTGAAGATGATAGTAACTTTCAATTGTTAAGTCAGTTATAGTCCCAATTTGGTAATATGAAAATTTTTAAATTTCAGTTACAATTTCATTGAAATCAATAAGAAAAAAATTTAAATTTTACAAATAAAATATATGTATTTTGAAGTAATATTTTATTTATGTAAAGAACTTTGTAAGAATGATGAAGAAAACCTTGCTACGAGTGGCGTCTCGCAAACTTAATGTTTTACAAATTATGTTCTCGAGAAGTTGTTATATATGTAGTTCTTGTTACATATATTTCATAATTGTTATTTTTAAGTGTTATTTGTACGTTTAAAGCCCTAAAGTATGATTGATATAATTCACCATTGTTACATAAATCCTTCACAGTGACAAAATGTTAGGTTCCATTTCAGAGAGAAACTGTCACCTTATTTGAATACCTGTCCACTAAAACACTATGCTTTCGGATCTATTTGAAGTTCTGATTTAAATTTAACACCTCACTGACATATAATAACACAAAAGACAAAGTTTATTCATGAAATTAACGTAAAAAAATTTAATCGTGTAGGAATTATAAAAGGAAAAATAATTTGAATAATATTTAGCTTTATGTTGTATGCAAAAGAAAAAAACTCATTACAATGCAACGGACATTTCTTTGTATTGTCCGTGTACTCTGTGGTAGATAAATGTTTGTTCTCTATTGTATATAAGACTTTTGTTTCTTGTATAAAAGTTTGTTTCAGAATTATGGAAGCGGAGATGATTCCTTTTCGCTTTGAAATGTATCCATAAATTATTGGCTTGAATATATAATTGCTTTCAAAGCGTACAAACATCAAAATTTCACAATGTACATTTTTTGTTTTCCCCCTTGACGCTTGATATAAATATTTTATTTTTATTGTTCATAAATAATACACTTTATTGACAATGAAACAGATTTTGAGTTGTTTTTTATTTATTTATTATATTTAATTCAATTATTTTATGTAACGAACGTCAATATTCAACTAACAAAAGCTTAAAAATGTCCATCAGAACGAAATGTATTGTAAATTTACAAAACATATTCTCTCTAATACTTCAAGTGGAAATATGCTTACGAGAAAATATGAAACGTCTGTCGGAAGACGTACGGAAAATATAAAATGTTTTAAAAGAGCTATATTTTTATATTATAAAATAAACTTATTGTTTATTTAGTTCTTTTGTTTTACGATAGTTATCAAATAATAGACAAGTTACTTTGGTCACGGCTTGCAATTTGGATTACTCTTAATCAATTATAATAATGTTATGATTAAATCAGTGGTGGCCTAGTAGCTAAAAGGCGCGCCTCTCATGCATGAGGGCGCGGGTTCGATCCTGGCAAGTACCAATGTGATTTTTCCGAGTCATATGTACTTTCTAAGAATATTTAGACATCACTGATTAATGCATTCCTAAAGACTGTTGATATTAAGCAGGTCGTAAAAACAATTAGACAAAACTATTCACAACATGTAGGGCAGACCCGGGCTATAGCTGGGAAATTGCCAGAAATAAGAAGAATAATTTTATTATATTGAAATGTGGATGTTACATAATTTAATTATCATCATTATTGTTAACAAAACATCGCGCAATATTTAAAATATGTCACTTTAGTAAGCCAATAAGATGTAAATTATAGTTCGTGTAATAAAATGGTTATAAAGTAGCGCTCTCGATGTATACAGTACTTTAATGAAAAGTGATAATGTACACGCTGCCGGGTATGCCTGCTGGGGTATTAAATGTTCAAGGACGAATACAGCCTGTAGCAAACATATTGGCCAGCCACGGCCTTCATATTAAGAGCACAACTTATAAAGAAATATTCACTTATACTCAATTATTTTCTCCTATTTTTATAGGATACGGAGTTATTAAAGCGATTTAATTATACTGAAATTACTTAAGACTTTTCTGTTAGAAGTTTTATAATACAAAAATGATTATAATCATATCTTTGTAATCACTAATATGAACATGAAAACCTTAGAAAAGCTTACGTTTTAATAAATCTATTAGTATTTTAAGTCGAAGTTAAAGAAAAAATTACTTTATGTAGCTGATTAGATTAATTAATTACAATCAAGAGGCACAGTGTTGTCTTGTTAACCAAAAACAAAGCCATTTTTCATATGAGATGTAGGAACGTTATCTTCATATTACCTTTCGTATATACGAGTATCAAAAAAATATAGGTTGTGTTTGTCGCTCTATTAAACGTTGAAGATAAATGAAACAGGACTGTAATTAGTGGATGACTTTATCAACACAATAAACCCAGAAATAATAATACTTTTGTGTTAGTCTGTGCGTAAGTGACAGCCAATCTTAAAAATGGTTTAAGCATTTTAAATACAGTTTTCATTTTATTGTAGGGGAGTTAGCTTAAAATAAAAAGAGATCATTTTCAAATACTTACCGATGCTCTGGCTGACCCAAATGCCTAGCATGTCCAACTGCAACAATCGGTGATACAAGCTAGCGCCTTGTGTGTGGTTCATGAACAGATGGTAGAGGAAGGAGCCGCACCAGGGGGCGAGGGCTCCCATCAAGTGGCAGAGAGACAGGAACCACGCGCCACTACCACCACCCCAAGGTAGCAACCCTGGCAGTACAGCCATCATATATAGCAGGGACACCCCTGGAGAGAGACATGAAACTTTTAGAATATGGTATCAAAAGATTGAATATCTTAAGAGAGTCTGTCTTATACTGAACATAAACTAGTAGTTAAATAGTAAATAAATAAGAAGTTTACTTGTATATTTTTCTTTTTAATTTTTTTTTTTAAAACGAAAAAAGACAACTACTTAATGTCGTAATTTGTTAAACAAATTTAGCTAAAGAGATAACTTTTTAACTTATTTTACATATATATGATTACGATGGCTATGTTATCTAATAGTATTATAGTGGAATGTCTTAGTTTCCACAGGTCTCAAGAGATCGTTCCAAGTATACATTTTCAGTATCAGCATTGAAATGTAAGTCATTTAACAGCCTATAACCCGCCTCTACGGGCTTGGATCGGAAGAATAAATCGGAGATCTTACAGAATTTAGTACCGATAAGTCGGATGCTGATAACAAATCGGCAATGAAAATAGATCATAACTTATAAGCATTATAAAAAATGTTGTGTGTGTTAGTCTGATATGGATAAAATGAAAAAATCGGTCTAATTCCAGTCTAACTTGAAATCCTAGAAATTAGTATAGACAAATAGGATTGAAATTGCCGATAAATTACATATACTCTGTTAGTTTTGTGATAGATAATGAGAGTATTATACAAATATGCTCAACGAAATTTTAACCTAAGTTTGTCGTTTGAAAACTTCTGTCCTTATTAAATATTAATAAATCTATTAATATGCAACTGTCTATAATAATAACTCATCATATTATGAAAGTGAATACAAATACAAGTTTAAAACTTTTTCCTCATTTTTTGCTACATGCAACCTCTTGCCAAAATTTCATGACTAGGTCATCGGGAAGTTTAATATAAATTCTGATTGCGAGTATAAATGTAAGTGATATATAAAGCTTGAACTCTTTGATTAATTTGAGTTTGTTTTTTCACTACTTGAACATAATTAGAAGACGAAATAGACATGTTAAAAACATTTGTTTGTTTTGCAGACTTCAATGTAAGGTTATCCTAAAGAACAATAATCCTTTGTATTAACTTATACCACTTTTATTCATTACTAATGTAAACATAACGAATGAAAGTTATTATTCAATAGAAATATTAATATTTAATATATTTACATCATTAAAACTTTTTAATAATGAAACAGATATTCGTATAATGAGTAATATACATATATTATAGCCATTTATACAATTCTGTACAGTTTTAAGCCTGCGGGCTCGGAACAGTGGCTGTAATGACTAAATTATAAGTTTCCGACGTATTTTAATGAGATTCCCGCCTTGTCTCGCTATCCGCAACAGTAATTGTATTAATTACTCAGCACGGATTCATTAGAACAATAATGGACAGAATCATTAAATTTGTTATGAAACATACGTGGAATGTTTGAGCTTAGATCATTAACGTCAGGTTATTATAAAATACACCAAAATAACAAGAGACATAGAAAAAATACAGAAGAATGTTAAGACGTGTCTTTTTTAATAGAAATTATATATTTCGTTTGAATTAAAAAGAAATGCTATTAAAATCAGCAAGCGTTGCTATAAATGCAAGTATTGATGGAACCAGTAAAGGTATTTTGTTAATTTTGACACAATATTATACATTTTTTTATGGCAGTAGGTATTTATAAAGTATGTCGTTGTGAGAGTACATTAAGCTTAGGGTTGTCAAAAGGACATTTAGGGGTGCGGAACACGCGAACGGCGGAAGTTAGGGATAGAACTGTCAATGACTAATACAGGTTATATACTCGTTAATTTATTAGGGTTCCCTAAATAACGAAGGTCGGACCCTCCGTCAGGTTACCTGACGTGATGTGAAAACAATATTAATTCTTAATTTTTCAACCTAACTAGATTTTGTTTTTGGTTCCCTTTTCTTATGATGTTAAAAGTTATTTTTGGAATATTTATCTTTCGCTTCTAAAAACACACACAATTGGGTTTTTGAATTTTTTTTTTTTTGTGATAAATGGAAAGATCATATATAAGTTTAATAACAAAACTATTTTTATTTTATTTTTTTTTGCAATATTTAAAAAGTTATTTCAAAATAAAAATTAAATTTTAAATTCAGTACCGAAGACAAGCCGACAGCTCGTGAATAAACCCGAGCGCGTGTGACGTCACAATGTTAGTTTTTGCTCATTGTAGCATACAGAGATATAATAATTAGTACAGTGTTTTGAGTTTTTATCTAGTAAATTCTGTTGGCATTGTTAAATAATCAAAAGTTTTGTACCATTATGTACAAAGACTACAAAAACAACTCCTGAAAAAATGTTTTTAAATGTTCCACAAGACGAAAAACGTCGAAAGAAATGGTTTCAAGCAGTGCATCGAGATTATTCAAAAACAAAATCATTTTTTTTTGTTGTGAAGATCATTTCGTTGTAAGTATTCATAATAGTATTGTTATTAATTATTATTTATCTAAGTGTATAAATCGAATAAGTATAGTTCAATAATTAATTTTTTTACCTGGGCTCCAAATCATAACCTTTAGAATCGTAGCATTAAAAAATTTTAATTGATAATTCAAAGCGATTAAATAGTAAATCTATATGTATGTTTGTCTAATAATTGGACTTCATTTAATAGATATTTTCATAATTTTATAACATTCTAGGTTCTGTATCAGACTACATTTAAATTTTTAAAGTACATATATGTTATTTTGGTTTTTTTTATAATGTTATAATAACATTTTATTAATAATGATTTAATGAAATAATTATTAATTATATTTAATAGAGAATAAATACTAATTTTCATTTAGAATAGTATTTTTTGACAGACTTACCTTGATGTCTTAGCACCTCGAACTTCAGCAAAATTAAACCGCACTTTTTAAAAAATTAGTTATCATAAAAATATATTAACATCAGGAATATTATCCGATTTTGCTTTTATAAATCCTTTATCACACATAGTCGAAATAAACTTTTCAAATCGTTTTTCACTAATAAATTTGAGATATTTTTATCAAGTTAAAGATAATAGCCATAAACACTGTACTATTATGAAATTGCTTTAACATTATGACGTCACAAGTATGCTGACCAATCATGGCGCGTTTACAGTCACGTGATATATTTTTGAATTTTATCAATTTTTAATTGTTTATAATTAATTTAAAAAATATATTTCAAGTTTTTTGCATTAAAAATCCAATATAATTAATAATAAAGTTTTAAAATACATAAAAAAAATCAATACTTTTTTTTTTTTCAAAAACCCAATTTCTACTTAAATTTGCTGTTGTAAATAAATGAGGCATATTAGAGCAATAAAATATGAATAATACAACTTCAAATCATTTTAAAACGTTACATAATTAAACAATAGTATAAAATTACATTAATCTATTGTAATAAATATATTACGTCACTTAAGTGTATTAAGTTATGCATGTACAAGTGAAATACATTGAATATTTCAATATTAACATATTTATGTAAAAAAAACACTTTTCAAACGTCATATGTATGACAGAGAGTTTTTCTTTAAACAATGTAATTGTCTAGTCATCGTTTGTCAAGTAAATAGAAATTTAATTAACAAAGAATGCAGTTAATTTCTTCATTAAGTACAAATTAAATTTATTACAAATCAGTCAAAAAACCTACACTCTAAATGTAATTTGTTTACGAAATTCGCATGTTATTTCTTCAATCTTATTTATCATGTTTTAACTTCGAAAACATACTAAGATATATTTTAAAAAATAAATCCAGAATTAAATAAAATAATTTATTCATAAAATTAACTTATAACAGTAACTTAACTGAAAGCTTGTCATTTCCATAATAAAGTGAATATTCCCTCTAAATTTATATAAGAGGACTACTGGAAAACAGTTCTAAGAATAGCTTATTTTAATTCACTATGACTTTTAAAGCCTATTTATAATATTCTCACAATATGCTGTCTACCGCGGTTTTACCTGGTTTGTTATATAAGAAATAAAACTAATATTACAGTGATCACGGTTGCTGTAAAGTAACCGAAACTTCGGGAGTATGTAGTTTATAATCAAAAATAATAATCACGTAGTACATTCGAAAAATATTAGTTTCAATTAAATGAATACTAGTGAAAATCTTCGATTTCATTATATAAGAAATATTTATCATAAGTGAAGTTTACTATTTATTTTTGTCAAACATTCAAAAAATTTTGTACTGTCTTAATGACTTAATGACTTAATTTTTAGATTAATAATATTTACTTTTAAAGACTATAACATATTTTTATATAAAATATTATTAAACACTCTATCTTTAAAACTAAGCTGAATATAAATGTGTCGAGAAACCCAGAAAATATTAAAACTAGTTTCCAAGATAAGCGTGAACGTCCAACTTAAGAAATAAAATATGTAGTTTATTTTATGTCTTAATTTTTTTTTTTGCTTCAAGGAATATTTCATTTTGTTCAATATACTATCATTTTAAAGTGATATTTTTATTATATTTAAATGAATAATAATTTCATCAAAAGTATGTCTGTATATATATGTTTTTTATAATAAAAACAATTAGTCGCAAAGGATTGACAAAATTTATGCATGCATTTCATTGAGTGTAACTCAACGAAAACTATAAAATAAAACGTTTTCTTAGATTTTACCAAATTTTCTAATAGAAAATACAATGGCCTTATTCATAATATTCTTCAGAGGCTGTGATATTTAATCTTAAAGGCTTAGTCTATGCTGAAAGGTTTACTTATAGTTTTTGTCTTAATAAATGTGGATAGTAAAATGTACTCGTCCCTGAGATTATTTGTCACCACGACCTGTTTAAAATGATGAATTAATAAAAGAAAACCTACTTAAATGATAGGATCTAAGATTTTTACGAGTACTCATTTAAATGAAACTATCATTTGGATTACTACGCGTATTACATTATTTTAAAAAACTAGATAGGTACGTATAATTCGCTCCGTATTCTTTTCGGTTTCTGAAAAGT